CCCCAAAACCCCAAAACCCCAAAACCCCATCAATTATAATTTACAAATTCAGAGGTGATAAGGAATGTGATAAAATAATTCTATTGGTTTGATGAATTAACTATAATGCTTTTAGATAACTAATTAATATTGCTGCTTCATATAAGTATATCTTTGTGTACATTGCGAAAGATTCATAGAATGCTAGATATTTAGCCCCCACTTCTTGTAGATTGGATCTCTTCGCTACTTTTAAAACGCTTATTCCTATCTTTCCTCAAGTATGGGCTGTATTTCAGTTTCTCCATAAAGCTTAAATTTTGTTGCATCTATGTGTGACTTCTTTTATTAGAGTAATAATTTAGTTGCTGCTCCTCATATTCACTCTAAAGGAAAAGATCTTCTTCATAATCTCTTAAGGAATTTATATCTAGAGTTGTCTAGGTTTACAGCCTATCTTGTTTTATTGGCATGTTTCTCTTACAATTATCAATCTTCTTCATGAGTTAAGATAGCTTCAAGTCAAGATTATCGCTCTGATTAATTATGAAGTCATCAAGATTTAATTATTTAAACTACTCTTCAAATTTCAGAGGAAAAAAGCAATCCTCATTTTCTTTTTCATCTAGCTTCCTTTTGGAGACGTTTTGTATTTTTGGCATCTGTAAAAATGGACAATAAGTATCTGAATGCGAAATTACATTTTGATAAGATGATTTGATTCTATAGGAATGATCCCTACCTCTTCTGTTTGAGTTGATGTCTAGTTGTGCAAGCGGATCCTGAATAAGTTTGTTCGTGCAAGAATCAGCTGCAGAGATCAAGATGTCTCCGCATTTGGTATAGTCACTGATTTCAACTTATTACAAGGATCCTAATCTATCATTACAACTTGTTGAAGAGAAGATTTCAGTCATGTTGACTGTAGTCCTTAATTACAACTATTATGAGAGAGTAGTACTTACATGTTGTGAAGGTAAAAGGTGCTTATTCTGAAAGGACTTCTCTTTTTATCGGATCAATTCTTACTTCTCGTCAATTTATGATTTCTAAACTGTAGCAATAACCTAGTTATTACTTTTCTTTGCATCTTTATCTCTTTTTCTTCTTTGATTTTATTGCTTTTTAACACAAATTAGCATTTTTTCATCGAAATTGATATTGATGAGTTTTAGAAGTCCTTTCTGACATTAAGGGCACTGAATGCCTTTTTCGATTAAATTCATTTAAGTTCTATTTGGCAGAATCTCTCTGCAAGTTGTCTCAAGTTAATATTCTCTTTTTATTATTACAGATTACTCATTCAAATCTTGCACATCAAAGAATGAATGTTGGTCTTCGCCAAATAATGAATCATTTCTCTCAAGTTTCAAGTTCATTTGAGTAGGGGTTTCAGTGAAACTCATAAAATCTTAATCGATTGGTTCAACCTTTATTTATCTCATAATTGTTATCAAGTAAAATTATAAAAATACGAACCTATTTCATATTTATTAACCCAATAAAATTAAAGTTATTAGAATGCTAGGGGTTTTGGGGTTTTGGGG